AGTTTGTCTGAAGGGGTAGCTTGTCTTTAGATGATGTAAAGCCATTTTCTGTATTTTCTTTTTGAGGGTTTATCATTTCATCAGGATGCAGATGGACGTGAAGAGCTATCAAAGAGGGAAAAGGAAGAGATTTTGGCAAAACTTTCCCATGCTGAAAGGATTCTAGCTGAAGGAAAAACCAGGGTAAATAAGCTTGAAGAAGACAATGCAAAACTACGGCGAGCTCTTGAGCAAAGCATGACAAGGCTAAATAGGATGTCAATGGATTCGGATTATCTTGTGGACAGGTTGGTCTGTGAAAATTCTGAATCAAATCCTAATCATCAGAATTCTGTGAACTGCCAGATTTTTTACTAGTAGAATGGGTTTCTTGTTACACATTATTTCTTGCTACAATAATATGAAGATAGCTGCTGTGTGTTTATTCGAACCTCCTTCAACTTTAGAATTCAATAATTCAAGTCTATCACCAAACGATGGTCCTAAGTTTTACCATACTGAAATTAAACTATCATAACCATTATGATTGACCAACGTAGATTCACTCCTCAAGGGAAGAGGGTTTAACCTAAACCCCTGCTGAAATTGTTACATTGCCACTACTTCTGCATTGTGTTTAATTTGATTTTCTTTCCTTCCTTCCCTTTTTTTTTTTTTCTTTTTTTCCCAATGATATATAATGGATCGATGTGCTCCTCTCGATAATTGCCATCTGATTATTGGATATAATTTTTTGTGTAGTACTTTCATCTTTATCTTAAATAAATAAATTTTTGATATTGCAACTGTAACCTTTTGCAGGCGAATTGTGATCAAATTACTAGTGACCTACTTCCAGAGAAACCACAGCAAAGAGGTATGCTGTTTTATCAACTCCTATGGTAACTCAAAATTCATACCCTGCAGTGAGTCATGACTTCATGTGAATGCAGATTCTAGAAAGATAATTTATTCTTTGGGTAAAATAGATTCCCCCTCAAGAAATTGTTTTACACTATATGGATTCCAGGTTCTGGATCTTATGGTTCGCATGCTGGGGTTTTCTGATGAAGACAAGCAAAGGATAGGTATAGCCCAACAAGGTGCGGGCAAAGGTGTTGTTCGAGGTGTCTTGGGTCTACCTGGTCGCCTGGTCGGTGGCGTGTTAGGTGGTGGCTCAGCAAATGTACAGGCCAATATTGCCAATGATAACCAGGTAACTCTTTTGGCCATCAATATCTTTTATTTTTTCATGGAAAACTGATTTTTGAATTTTCAGCACATATTATGTTTCCTTAATTTATTTGCTTTATAATATTATTATGGCTTTAGGACCTTGTGTGTCATAGACTACTCTGAACTCCTAAATTTGCTATGGTTTCTTCCTCAGTCCATTGCAGATTTGTGGGTTGATTTTCTGCTCAAGGAAACAGAAGAACGAGAGAGGAGGGAATCTAGGGATGAGCTTGGCAGATCCAAAGACGATCCGAATGGAAAAAGCCCAAATTCTGCAGGAGCTAGTCCACCTGTGTTAGACTACAGGGCTGGTGGTTTCTCAGGTTCTAATTTTTCTTCAAGCCACACGTCAAGTCCCTCGTCTTCTCTGGGAAGTATTCGGCTATCTGAACAATCTGAATCCGAATTCTCTAATATTCCTCTCACATCAACAGAGAGTGCCTCTCGCAACTCCAGATTACCTCCAAAATATCTAAAGTAAGCTGGATCGTGTAATTTAATCAAAGGTATTGATTCTTTTGTTTATTTTGTTGCGTCACAATTCTGTTCAATCAATTCTTTTATACTCCAGGTAAAGGAGTCTCGGCATCATGCATGTCTGTATACCTACCTCGGTCCAATTAATTTGAGAATAGATGCGGGTGGAGGGGCATAACAAGGATTTGACCTCGGGGGGGTTTTGGCTATGTATAGCGGTTTATAAACTAGACCCGCAAAATCAATTCAAAATGTATGTGAATCAGTCCAATAAAATCTCAATCATAAACGTTTTTGGGTGATAAAACTATAATATTTTTTGGGCCACATGGTCCAATAGAGAGAAGCCAATGAAAAGAGTTATTTGGGCTATTTGGGCCATTGAACTTAGCCCAATGCAAAATTATTAGGTTACCCGGTCCAACAAAAGATCAACTGAAAGCAGCCATTGGGCCCACTCAATAAGGTCCAAAATGATGTCGATCCAAGTAAAAGTCCATTCAGATAAAGACCTAATTTGAGACATTTTGGGCCTATTGTCCCATTCCAGGGCCCAGCACCATATTTAGGAACGCCAGTGAAAATCGTACCTTTTCACGTAACTTGCAACACTAGATAGCCCAACCAAGAAAGTTATTTGGGTTATTTGGGCTGTTGAACACAGCCCAATACCAAATCATTAGGTCAGTAGGGCCAACAAAAGATCAATTGAAGGCAGCCATCGGGCCCACTTAATTAGGTCCAAACGATGTCCATTCAGTAAAAAAGTCTACCTCGATAAAGAGCTAAAATTGAGACATACTTGGGCCTATTGGCCCATTCCAAGGCCCAGCACCAGATTTACGAACGCTGATGAGAATCAAACCTTCTCACGTAGCTTGCAACCGTAGATGGCCAGCGAGACTAATAAACATAAATAAACAAGAAAACACGCGACGGATTATGAACAAGGAGGCAACGCAAACCAATTTATGACCATAAACATAAATGCCGTAGGCCGTGGCAACAAAAAAGGGCAAACGAAATGCCCTATGGAGAGCTCACCGTAATAAAACACAGATGCCAAATCCCTACTGCATTTGTAATGAGAAAAATCCATCTTAAATGCAAGCCAAAACACATTCGAACGGTTACCGGCCAAACTAAAGTCGCATATAAAGTTTAATATGGATAGAGAATAGAGATAACAAGTTAGCAACAGAACCAAAACTATCAAGATATGCCGGGAAGAAAGACACCACAGCCTCTAAACCTTTTTGGCCTTCAAGGGAACATTTGGAATCTTACTAAGAACCTTAGCATCAAAAACAACATATTGCTTTTTCAACTCGACCATTGCCTTCTCTGCAAATGGGTCAACCTTGTCCTCATACTTCTCATAGAGTACAGGCACGGTATGCAGCAAGACAAAAACTGATTTAAAGATAAAGATTATTAGAATCTAGCAAAAAATCTTAAATTGCTAACAGCAATAGATGTGAGGCATTACCTATGAAAAACAAGGTCAAGAAGTTGCACCAGGTTCCTCCAATGGACAAGATCCACAGTCCCACCATAACCTGGCATCCAAAACATAGATAGCACCTTAAGAAATCTGATGCTAAAAAATGTATGCAAAATTAGGAAAACTATCATGGTAGATGTATAACTTATACAAGCATTTAAAATGAAACAAGCAATACAACGAAGCTAAGAAACTGGAATCCAATTCTAAAATGCACAAAATCAGTAAAAGATTTATGCACAATAATTTTGAGAAAGATTCAAGATGAAGCTTCCATGGGGTGTCTACAGATAACAATCACAGTACCAAGAGGAATTTCTTCAAATCTCTTCCAGATGCAATATCATGCAGGACAGCAAAAGCATAATTTATCTCCATCCTCAAGGCAGCAGCAACCTCCAGGAATGGTTCTTCAGGCAAATGAACTTCTGGAATGTGGGGTCGAGTCCTACAAAGGAGTGTGGTTATTAGCACAAGAATGGAATTAGAGAAATGGATGAAAACATAGTAGAGTCTTAAGAACTCAATAAAGGGAATCAACTAAGGCAGACAAATGCTACACAGGTAAAAGTTAAAAGGGACTGCTAAGACCCAAAATCTTACTTGTTGATGAAAGTATGGGCATTGGACCAAAGGAACATCAGTGCAAGTGCAAGTATCAAAATGTGACACACAAGCGTAAGCAGGTGATATTCAATTAATTCAAAAAGAACCCAGACTACAGTTGCTGCACCAAGCACGCCAGCTGAAATCTTCTTGTTCCTCCACAAGAACACATCAGCAGCTATAAAAATCATTACCACAAACAATCAAGAAAAAAAGAGTGTTAGAGTCATTCAAAACAAAGGTGATTTAAATAATTACAAATAAATACCAAACAAAGGAAACCATTCCTCCTATTTTTTAATTGAAGATAATCAGCTAGTTTATTAGTAACAATACTAAACAAACTATCATCTTTATTTATATTGTGAAATTTGCTTTGCTAGGTAGAGTGGAAAGCTGAAAAGAAATGGAAAAAGAAAAGCGCCAACCAACAGAGATCAATATAACCCATGTTTTTTGTTGCAGGTTTTCTAAGTGTTTGTAGCATTCAAACTGAAATTAAATCTAAAATCTCATTCACACCATGGATTCTCCAAGCTACTAATCAGATCTCAAAGCTAGAGAGAAATAAATCGCCAAATATCCTAAAAATCCATTTCAATCAAATAAAGCTATATCGAGAATCTTAAGCAAATAATCTTCCTAGTCTCACTGTAGAAATTTTCACAGTCGCATTGCATTGCTTCTTTCAGCAAAGAGCGAACAGTGATCAAGCGCAGGCTCACACACACACACACACACACACAAAACATCAAATCAGACTTTCAGAGCTTAACTACAGCTAAAAGTAGAGTCACGAGGACAAAAAGAAAAGAGAGATAAGTAAAGCGAGTGAGATAAATGAGGTCCATACGCTTTCCTCCTCCGAGAACTTGGTGTACCGGTCTCTCTCTACCAAACAACCGGTAAATCTTGGCCTTCACGGAGGACGATGAAGCCGATTTCTCTCTATCCAAGGCGGAATCAGAAGATGATGAATCGTGCGCCTGAATCTTCTCCCTGATCTTCTCCATCACCGATTCCATCGTCGGAACCGGCGTACTCTCCGATTCCTCCGCCATTACTACCGGAACAACGAAATCCGAATCGAAATCCCTAAAATCGAAGAAATGGAAACCTCAATGCTCAGAGTCTCAAAGGAAGGAGAACGAGAGAGCATGCACTAGCAACTGAAGTAGTAGGGTTCCAAGATGGGGATATATATATAAACCGAAGCTCAGGTTTGGAACCCGAACCTAGTGGTTCGGGGTGAATTTGAAAATCAAAAGTTGACGGCGTTAAACGCCCGATGAGACGCCGTGGGGCTTGGGCCGAGATGAGGAAGTGACGGCGTCAGATTTGACGGGGGTTTCCTGGTGGGGCCGGCCGTAGATTCTGATAAGGAGAACGTGGGGTGGAGCCGATTGAGGGGAGAGGGTGCGATGTTTTTGAAAAATCACAGAATTTGAGACACGTGGCGCCGATTTATAGAAAGACGGGCGCTATCGAGCCATGGAGGGAGCGCCATATCTTTTTTGAAAAGCTTAAAGCTTTGTCTAAGAGTCTTTTTTCAAAATGTTAAATTTCATCAAGTAAATGAAAATTTTTTTTAAATGATTAATCTTAGTTTAATATACTTTGACGAGAGTGCTGTTTTCTAGATCATTTTGTGGTAATTGTATTTTTTTAATCATGGAAGGAAAAAAGGGAAGTCTCAATTTTTAAACAATATAAATTGATCACAACATTAAAATTAATAAAGTAAATTATATAAAATCTTATATGTATTACTTAACTCACATACAAAAAAAACGATATGAGATAAGTGTCATATAAGAGGAGGAAGGGCCACTTAAGAGAGTTAATTTTCAATTTATTCTTTTGTGAATTGTACTTTACTTTTCTTGTTAGTGTATACTTTCGTCCCTCATCAATCTTGTTCTTCTTTGAAAAAAAAAAGAAGAAAAGAAAAGAAAAACCATTTTTTTTTCTTTTCCATGTGTGTTTTCCTTTCTACAAAAAAGTAAAGAAGAGGGAAAATTTTGAATGATTCAGAATGCAAGTCCGATCTGTTGGGCATGTCCAAGATCCTTTTTCTGGC